CTGCAGTGGACTGAGTTGTTCTGAGATGTTTTCTGCTTTCTGATCTGCAGGCGGCTCAGAAACAGGCGAAGAACAGGAAGAAGGTGAGTCGATGCTGGGCGGCTGCGTTTCTGTGAAAACTGGAGCTGATTTGCAACCGGAGGTTTTTTCCTTTCTGTGTTTCCGTAGAGTCCAGACAGCGAGAGTCCGTCCACCGCCGAGGTCGACCTGTTCATGTCCACTCAGAGGATCAAAGTCCTCAATGCAGACACGCAGGTAAAAAACTAAATCTGAGCTGAAAGCACAGCAAAGCAGGAAACTACACCACCACACCTTCTATAGAAGCAGCTGAAAACACAAATGTCACATTTTATTCAACGGAAAGTTTACAAAACGAAAGGAGAAGCTATGTGAGCTAAAGGCTTTTAAAGTTAGCAATTGTATCTGCATTAGATTAAACCAAAGACGGCGATATCGCCTGGTCTGATTTGTCTCCTGCAGGAGGCGCTGATGGACCTGCCGCTGAGAACCATATCGTACATCGCCGACATCGGCAACATGGTGGTTCTGATGGCGAGGGGTAAGATGGTGAGGTCGCGCAGCGCTCAGGAGAACCTGGACCAGACATCGGAGCAGACGGACCTGAACCACGACGACAGGAGGATGTACAGGATGATCTGCCACGTGTTCGAGTCCGAAGACGTGAGTCACCATCGAGGCGTAACGAAGAACTGAACCCGTTTTAAAAATGTTTAAACTTATTCCAATACAATATTATAAACTTTTATTTACTTCTGACTGATTTCTCTCAGTTTTGGATCCAGATTTAATTGTTTTAGACAAGTTCTTTATAAAACATAGAAATTATTTTTGAAATCTTTTGTGCATTATTAAAAACACAAAATGGTGAAAAAAAAATTAACTAATTTTGTTTAAAATGTGTTATTTTTTTAGTTTCTACATATTTCAAAAAATGCTTCAATAACAAACTTTATGGCAAAATTTTAGCTCCATACATTTTAGAAACTACTGAAAGTTTTATTTATTATTTTGTTTTCTTAAAGAAACTTTATGGCCCCAAATTTGCTCCATAAATTGAAGGTTAAAAATTATTTTTTATTTTTCCAGTTTCAAAATTTTCTTAATGGCCCCAATTTAACTCCATAAAAGTTTGGAATACCGTCATAAATAGGAGTGTAATCTCTTTACAGCCAAATCGTTAGTAATTTGAGCAAATATTAGTTAAATAAACCGTGTTTTAAACAGTTTTTGTTTCATTTCAGGCGCAGCTCATCGCTCAGTCCATCGGCCAGTCCTTCAGCGTGGCCTACCAGGAGTTCCTCAGGGCCAACGGCATCGACCCCGAGGACCTGAGCCAGAGGGAGTACAGCGACCTGCTCAACACTCAGGACATGTACAACGACGACCTCATCCACTTCTCCAAGTCCGAGAACTGCAGAGACGTAAGCCTGCCACCAGAGGGAGCTAAACTAACTTTGTTTGGTTCCCCTCTTTGTTATGCATGAAAATATTCACTTCTTCTACTGAACTTTATTGTGTGTTTTCTAAAAGAGCATTAGCAGCTCTGCTTTGGCTGAGGATTTACTCTCTGGTGGATTTAAATGAACATTTGAAGAATCAGCAACAAAAGTCTTTTTCTCCCCAAACTGCAGACGCCCAGAGGAAATAAGTATGGAGTGAAACTGGGCCATTAAAGTTTGTTTAAAAGAAAAGACAAAAAACTAAAATTATATTTTAAAAAATTGAAAGGTATTTTTTTTCAGTTATTTCAGTTTTATGGCTCCAATTTTGCTCTAAAATTGGCCCAAAAATGTTCAGTTCCAAAAAGAAACTGAACATTAAGTTAAAAAACAAATTTTTAGATTTAGTTTAAAAAAAAAAAAGAATTGTGGTGCTACGATGGTGCCATAAAGTTTGCTAAAAAAAACATTTAATGAAGTTCAAAACTGCTTTCCAGAATTATATTAAAAGTAACTGTTGAGAAATTTTTGCAAACCAGACACCAAAGGATGTGAAGCTATAAAATGTTTTTTCTTTTTTGAAACTGTAAAAAATACAAAACTCAAAATTAAGTTCAAAACTACTTTTGATATTAAATAAAAACAAAACATGAATTTGTTGTGCGTTTACCATAAAGCAGCATCTCCTTCTCTTCTGTTCTTGGTCTCGGTTATTTTTGGCCTCCAGCAGATTAAAATGAACAGCTGGATTTTTCACACAGCTGTGCAGCAGCTTCATAAAAACCTTCCTGATCTGAGCGAAGGTGAATTTCTCAAGCGTTTCCCACTGCAGGTTTACATTGAGAAGCAGAAAGGCGAGATCCTGGGTGTGGTGATCGTGGAGTCGGGTTGGGGCTCCATTCTTCCCACCGTCATCATCGCCAGCCTGATGCACGGCGGGCCGGCCGAGAAGTCCGGCAGGCTGAACATCGGAGACCAAATCATGACGATAAACGGGACGAGCCTGGTGGGATTACCGCTCAGCACCTGCCAGAGCATCATCAAGGTACCTGCAACGTTCCTCCTGCTCCTCCTGGTTTCCCTCCTGAGAACAAACGTAACCGTGTTTTTGTTTCCTTCAGGGTCTGAAGTCTCAGTCGAGGATCAAGATGAACATCGTCCGCTGTCCTCCGGTCACCATGGTGCTGATCCGACGGCCGGACCTGCGGTACCAGCTGGGCTTCAGTGTCCAGAACGGGATCGTAAGTAACGAAAACGGACAGAACTTTGGCAGAAACAGGAAATGACAGGAAGCAGACGGTGAAACAACACGGAGGCACTTCCTGTGGGAAAGAAAACCAAGTTTTGGAAAGTTCTAAACAATCAACCCTGAACCAAAACCTGGAGAAACCAAAAAGATGTCAAATTACCAGAATAAAGTTTGAATAATACGAGAAACACCAGTACTTTGTCACACTTTGCATCATGGTGGGAAAAAAGCTGCATGAGAATCAAGTCACAATATTAAGTCTTAGTAATAAGACTTAATCACAAAGTATTATTAGTAAGACTTTGTAATTAGCCGTTCATTGAAACATCTCAATAAAATAGTAACAAGGAGGAATATAGTTTTTTTGTATGAGGCAAAAAAATTACACATCATTAACAGCAAAACAGAAAAACACTGGACCAGGAATACTTTCTATAAAACAAGACATCTTAGAAAGTTAATGGTTTAACTTTTACTTTGGGTTTCAGATCATTTCTTATTTCCTGGACGTTTTGATTGGCCGTTCTTCCTCTTCTTCCTGCAGATCTGCAGCCTGATGAGAGGCGGCATCGCTGAGCGCGGCGGCGTCCGCGTCGGCCACCGCATCATCGAGATCAACGGGCAGAGCGTCGTGGCGACGCCTCACGAGAAGATCGTCCAGATCCTGTCCAACGCCATGGGAGAGGTGAGGACAGAAACCAGTTCCAAACTGGTTTCCAGGACAAAATGTCTTCCATGAAGTAAATCATTCATTTTGAGCAGAATTTCTATTACTCAGAGATAAAAAACAATGTTCTGGTTTCTTCTCCAGATCCACATGAAGACGATGCCTGCAGCCATGTACCGTCTGCTGACGGCGCAGGAGCAACCCGTCTACATCTGAGCTGCTCTTCTCCAAGCTCCGCCTCCTGCCGTTTTAAGCCCCGCCCCCAGTTTAAGCCCCGCCCCTCGTTCCGGCTCGATCTCACTGGATTTGCCTTAATCTGTACAGCTGGCTGTCGTGTAAATCGTCTGCGGTGTGGCAGCAGAAGGCAAACCGTCTCACTTTAGGCCGAGTGTTAATGTGACATTTTAGGTTCGACCAAAGATAATCTGTGGTTTGTTTGTTTTTTCTTGTGAATATTTAGGCTGCAAACAGAGACGATATTAGATCAGGTTGAATAGCCGTAATATCTGAATGTATTTCAATCATGATGGACCTATAATACGAAAGAGGATTGCATGTTCAATTCTGCAGAATAAATGTATGAAAATACAATCAATTTTGGGCTTTTTGGTTATTAGAAAGAAAAAGTAAAAATTACTGAGGTAATGAAGGTTACATACGTCATAGATAGAAAAAAAATCTAATATATGGAGATATATTGGTGTCAAAAGGCAACAGTTTGATAACTTTATGCTGTCTTTTTTTCCTCAATACAATATATATCAAATAAAATGTAAATATTTTACTGTATGTTTAATAAATTTGCATCTTAAATACAAAAGTTACAAGAAAAGTTGAACAGTAAAATACAAAAAACATTGTAATGCAAAAATTAATTCACAATATTGCCAGACTGGTCGTAATTTTACGAGAAGCTGCAATAAAAGAAAAATGTCAGTAATACCAGAATAAAGTCGTAATGCCACAACAACTCCTACACAGTAATTAAATAAGGAATGTTGAGCATCTTGCGAATGTTAAATTATCTAAATATTGAAAAAAGTATTTAAAATATTAACATTAGAAAGTACTGCAATCTCTAAACATCGTTTTAAATCTAGAAACAAAAAAAATCCAGCATCTTTCACGTTTTATTTCCCCTGCAAAAGGTTTAAAAGTGAAACAAAGACAGAACCGAAACTTTGAAGAATGTGTAAAAAAAATGTTTTATTCGTCTGAATTTTCCAAGAGTGAGCAGTGAAACACTCGGGAGATCACCAACTACAAAAACCACAAATCACAACTAAAAAGACATCGTGATTGTCGCCTCTTCCCTCCTGTGCACAAACACTGAGACTAGAGTGGGTTTACATCGTCTTTAGTATAAAAATAGAAGCAGTAAAAAGGTGATTGTCTTTTCGATTCCTCGCTCAGTTTGTTCCAGAGGAAACCAGGAATAAATGAAATAACTTTCCCTCCAGACTGTAGAAACAGCTCAATAAAACAGTAACAGCAGGAACTGACAGCGTCTCGTTACGGCCAGTTTAAGAGGACAAAGCAGGAGTTTATTTCTGCCAAAAACAGAGAAATATTTAGACTGAGCTGAAATGTTCTAGAAAAAAAGGTGGAGATTTCTGAGTTTAAAAGTGAAAAAAAAAACTTTTGGAAGTTTTCAGAGTTTGAAAAGAAGAAAGTTTCCTTTTTTTTTTCAAGAAAATTACCAAAATTTATAAATTTTTTCTCAACTTTTTGACCTTCAGATCTCAGAAATTTTCTTATTTTCTATAAATTTTCTAAAAATTCTCAAAATTTCAGGCAGACATTTACTTCCTTTTTCTTTCCATCTAGAACGGCCGTAAAACGGCTCGCAGGAATGACGTCTGCTTAAAAGTTTTAGTTTTTAACAGGAAACCCAAAATGCTTCCATGTTTTCCGTCCAGCCTCTGAATTTGACAGCAGCTTCGTTTCCCAGCCAGAATCAGGAGTCGAAAGGCACCGCAGCAGTTTCTGCTACCCAGAATGCAACTTCTCCTCCAGCAAATCGGGTTTTATTCTGGAAATCAAGAAGCTGCTGCAGAAGTGAAGCCAAAAAAAAACTACTTTACAGCTTTTCCTCTGATCGTTATTAAACTCTGTTTTTAGGGGAATGATTTCTTCTTCAATTGTGACACGAGACGGTAAATATTTTATCAGTTTACTTATTCTTCGACACTTAAATATGCTGAAATTACATAAATAATTCTGTACAAAAGTCTCTAGTTTTTCCTCATTTCTTTCAAGGCATCCAGATTTTCTAAACTGAATAATTTAATCAATAATTCGCCACAATTTCTGAAGGTCTGAAGTGTTTCTTTGGACTCTTTTTTCCAGATTAACGGACAGAAAATGGTTCTAGCAGCAAAAACATGATTATTTTATTCACCCTGACAGCAGCTGAGGTCAAAGTGCGAATAAAAACTGAAGTCAAACTCTTGCAGCTCAGTTCCAAAGCAGTTATAGTTCACAAGCAAAGCAAAGTCATTCAAATTTTGTGGTATCAAACAAGATTTTAAGTCATCTGCAGAAACCTGGAAAAAAGCCACAACTGCAAAAATAAGATTTGTGATTTTCAGCAATAAAATAAAACAGCGGTTATTCTTTGTAACATAGGTAAAGTCCTCCACGCTAAACTGTAACCAAAACAATAGTTTCATCGCTTTGTTTGGTTTCCAGGACTCAATTGGACCAGTTCTGTTTCAGTTTTTAGAATCTGGGTTCAATTATTTCATGTTTATTGCTGAAAAAAACAAAAAAGATTCATTTGGTGAATAATAAGAATTAGTTTAAGAATCTATCATAAAATCCTGTTTTAAGACAAAAACAATTGTTTATTTTGTTTTTTTCTGTTTGGATATTTAGATAGAAATAAAACTTTCTTATTGGTGGAACATGTTTTTAAATCTCTCACCTTGCAGGACCAGGTAGCAGCTCTGGTGAAAATTTACTGGAAGGAAAACATTCCAGGAACTTTTATGGTTCCTGCAGCTTTTAAAGACCTTCAGAAACTCTGGATGAATATTAACCAAACCAGCAGAAAATCTGCTGCTTGGAGGAAAAAAAAAAGAATTAAAGTTAGGACTTCTGCTTGATATTTGTGATGGATCGGATTCAGAAACTCTGGACTCGCCAGTGAAACACGGAGGCTGTTAAACCCAAACTGAACATTTCGTCTCTGGAAATCAGGACCAACATTTCTTCCTCTGTGGCGGTTAACGCCGCCGCCGCCAGCTTGAAGAGAGTCTGGACTCGGAGCCAAGATGTGAGAAAGAAGAAGTTCAGAGAGCGACAGAAGCTGGTGAACGACCTCACTTCCTGTTCGGAGCCTCACAGCTCGGTGTCCTTGTACTTCTGAGGGTTGTAGTATCCCCTCCGGGTCTGGTCTGCCAGCTGGCGGCGGTACTCCGCCTCGGTGTCCTCGTTTCCTCTTGTCTCCGAGTACGTGGGCCGGGACGTTGTCTGCGGCTCGGCGTTCGAGCTGAAAACACAGAAACAAGTCGGATCGGGAGGAAAAGGGAAACTGATACGATTTCAGCAGCACATGATTAACGGCAGTGAGATTATAAAATGTGAAAAAGTCTCTGCAGCTCAAATTCACAGCAGTTATGGTTTACAAGCGAAGTAATCTGAACCTTTGTGGACGTCTCCAACTGAAACAGATTTTAAATCATCAGCAAGTAAACAGGAAAAAGTTCAACTGGTACAGCGGTTACACTTTAAACTAAAGCTCAGACTAGCTAGAAAGCTAACGTCTTTCCTCTGCCTACATTTCCCAGAATGCTGAGCGGTTCTGGATCAGAACTCTGAGTATTCTATAAGATGTATCATCTATTGGTATTGATCTATCGATTTATTGATTTATTGTCCAGCTCTAGTTGGAGATGTTTTATAAAGGAGATTCTGCTGCTTTGATTTTGATTCATGGAAACAAAGAGACGGTTTAATCAGTTTGTGCTTCTTGTATTCTTGCTATTGACAGGAATTTAAATTGTTTCCATTTGTGTGGAAAACGAGAGAGAAAAGGCTCTGACCCGATTGGCTGGGGCCGGTTCTGGTTGGTCTTTGGCAGCTTCACTGGGACGGCGTAGATGTCTGGATGCTTCTGGGCGATTTCCAACTGGAACAGACCCAGAAACGTCAGAGTGAATCGCAGCAAAACTACAGAGGAGCCTTTCAGGAAGCTATTGTTCTGAAGGCCGGACCCGGAAACCTCAACGGGTCCGAACGCAGACTAAACGAGCGGCGGGTTTTCACTGACTCGAGCTTTTTCCGCCTCCTGCAGCTCCAGAAGACGCTGCGCTCGGGCCAGATGGTCCATCTTCTCAAAAGCTTTGATCTGGAAGAAAACGAGCCTCAATTAGTGGAAGGAAACAGGAAGAAGGAAAGATGGCCGACATGGAGAGGCTGGTTGGGACTGATGGACACGGAGTTCCTACACATCTATGATTTATTTATTCATTCTGGTATTCGCTCGGCTCATTTCATTCATTTAATTACCAATACATTCATCTCATTTTGATTATTTTATATTTTCTGTCTAACTTTGCCAACATGAAATTAACCAAAACCCTCAAAAGCAAATAAAAAGTAAAAATGTGATTTTCTATAAAGCTAATTAAACCTCTTCACCAATATTTAGGGGAAAAAACGACATTAAAATGAAAATAAAACCTTAAAATCCACTCAGAATTCAGTTCTTTCTAAAGATATTTCAGCAGTTTAAACCATTTTGTAAATTAAATTATCAAAGTATTCAGCACATTTTAGAGACTCCTACTTTCAATCTTGTTGATTTGTTTTACAATTTCCAAATTTAACTGTTTTTTCTAGTTTTGTCCAAATTAAATAAATCAAAAACGTCAAATTCTCCCCATAAAACATTGTGCAAGTTCGTTTTGTGTAAAATAAACTAATTCACATTCATTTGTTTACAGGCAGCATAAATGCCACATTATTTTCTCAAATATTTACTTAAAGGTTTATATTTAATGTTGAATTTACAGTTTTTTAATCACAGCTGCATCATTTACAAAAGAAGCTTAAAGTGTGTTGAGCTCAGATCTGGTGAAGTTCAGAAAACGGTCAAGTTTTGTGCAGGAACCCTGAAACAGGAAGTGGACATGTGCAGTTACCTGATTGGCCATTCTCTATTTCATAACAGGAAGAGAGAAAAAGCAAAGGAGGAAGAAAAGGAGACAAGTTTATTAAGCGAAGCGTGAAGGAAGAAAGAAGAGAGACTTTAAGGAGTCTTGAGGTAAACGGGTTGGTTTTTGTTCCCACCTTTCCCAGGAAGGACTTGTTGGCGGGGTCTTCCTCCTCCTGCTGGTTCGCCGGCGCCTGCTCCTCTGAGGTTTGGTGGAGGCGGGCGACGTTGGGCTTCGAGGCCACCGGCGGGGGAGCCGGCCTGCTGGCGGCCGCCGCGTCGATGCTGCTGATGGTGCTGCTGGACTGGGACTCGTAGCTGCGCACCGAGTCGGTCCGGGCCTGAGCGCGGACCTGCTGCGGACCGGCAGAGCAACGCCGGGTTAGAGGAGGAGGACGGGAATTCATTCACCAAGATGGGACCTTCTCCTGATCCAACAAAACTTTGTGCAGCTAAAATGTCATTTTACAGATATTTATAAATGTTTCCAGAGGTCATGAGAGGAAAAATAAACATTTTGCAGCGATTCTGCTGCGACGCCACCTTGGACATTTTTATCCAAAATAGGACAAAACAATATTCTAACCATCCCCAGGAGTCACAGCCAGGCGTTTGAGATCTTCCTGCTCACCTTGGGTGGTTCTGGAACAAACGAAGGCGGCGGGCTGGGGTCCCGGTTCAGAACCTCGCGGCTCCCGTGCCTCTTGGCGCGGCGCGGCTCCTCCGGCAGGACGGGCTCCGACGACCTGCTGATGGCGGAGACGGGCGTCGGGTCGTCCAGCGTCTCGTCCAGCTCGTTGTCGGTGTAAGCCCCGCCCTCGTCCGCCGTGTCGTCATAGTCGCTGGTGAGGCGGCTGTCCATGCTCAGGTAGTCGGCGCTCATGGCCGACAGGTAGGACATGCGGTCGTCCTGCAGGTCCAGGTCCTCCTCCGACCCGTCCATCTGCAGGGACGGAAAACAGAATCAGAAACTTATTTATTCCAAAATCCTGGTGGAATTTAACTTTAATCATTTCATTAATTTACAATATTTTCACCTCATTTCAGAAACTGCTACTTTAATGTTGTTGAAGTGTTTTGCTTCCTAAAATATTTAACTTTTTCTAGTTTAAAACTGAAATAAAATCCTAGTTTTCATTACAGCTGAACTACTTCAGCACCTTAAACCATTTAATCACAGATATTTTCAGCTCATGTTAATTTTCTATACTTTAGTCTCATTTATACATGGTTGTTGGATAAAAACAGATGATGTTGAACCAGTAAAATGTCATTTTCACTGTTAATTTCAACAGAAATTTAGAGTTTTTAAACATTTTTGTTAATTTATTTACCAATATATCCATCTAATTTTAGATAACTAATCTGAATTTTGTTGTTGTGTTTTAATTTCCAATATATTTAACTTTTTCTCTTAAATCAAAAAGATCAAAATCCAACAAAAAGTTTATTTTTTTCTTCTTCAGCTATTGAAACAATTTATAGACCAATAATTAAAGCAATTTTATACTTTGCTGGTTTGTAATTTCTGCAGTTAACTTTTTCCTTCCACTAAACCTTCTTGGATTCAGTGTTAGCTGTACTATGTGTTTGTGCACATGGATCATTTTGTCTTTTATTCTGATTCGGTCAGACTCACCTTCCCCTCCGACACCCACACCGCTTTCTGCTGCTGCTCCCGGATCGACTCTTTCACGCTGCCGTACCAGGCGTCATTCGACGAGTTCAGGTCGATGGTGGCTGGATTCCCAACACACAGGAAGATCCAATCGGTGAGCGGATGGGACTAAAAGCTTTACGGGACTCGCCGTGAGGCGCCACTGACCGGTGAAGAGGTGGGAGCAGGTCTTCTTCAGCCGGACCGCCTGTTCGTAGAGTTTCCGCGCGCTGCGGTTGGATCCGGGGATCAGGCGGCTCCTCATGGTTTTCACGCCCTGCTTGCTGTCCGGGTTCAGGAACACCACGATGGGATACCACTGGGTGTAGTTCAGCGTGTCCACGGCTTTGGGAGTGACGTCCAGCAGTGCGTGGAGGTCCTACGTGACGCCGCATTTTTAGGATTTTATTCCCACCAGAAAAAGACTTTCAGGTAAAAGTAACAAAAAATAAACCAGCTACCTGCTCGATGATTTGTCTGATGGTGTTCAGTCTCACCACTCCAGACGATTTCTCACTTCCAGCGTCTTTGGGCTCGGTTTCTGAAAAACAGACGTTTTTAAGTTTGTTTTAAACTTTGGGACAAACCAAATTTTATATAATTCTATAAAAATAAGAGTTTTTACAGTGTAAATTTCAGCAGTTGATTCAAAGCAAGAGAGAAAAATGTCCAGCTGATAACAGGAAGGCTCAACAGAAAACAGCAAAATAAAGTTTTAATTTCCTTTCAGTTTTAATTCATAGTTAAATCTTTTTACTTTTTTTTTAACGATTTAAAAAAAACATTTTAGTCCCAATTCAAATTCTTGTAGCAAAGTTGAAAATTTCTGTTTAAAAACTATGATACAAACATGTGAATTAATTTTTTTTTAAAGTAACTAAAAAAATAAGTTTGAAACAAAAAAAAAAAAAGAATTGATTTTTTTTCAGGTTAAAATTGTTCAGATTTTAGTTATTTTTTTATTTTATGGCCCCAATTTAGCTCCATATTTTAGCATCTTTCCAAAGCAGAAACTGTAATCAGCCTGAATCAGTAGCAGTAGATGAATATTATAGAGATATATTAATAAGACGTCGAAGGTCTTTGAGGATTCCTGACTAAACCGAAGTTGCTGCTGGAGATAATAAATAATAAATGCTAAAATGTGCTTCATTCATTTTTGACGAATCCAAAATGTATTTCTATTTGAACAAAGTAAAGCAGTTGTTACTCTAAACAGTTTCCAGCACAAGCAGAAAAAGTTTAGACGATACTTACTGGCAATAATAAACTCGTTGGGAAGGTCGTTGGCCAGTTTCTCGTTCACGACGTCGGAAATCGGGCCGAATATCACCACCGGCCTCCTGAAACCAGCTGGAAACACAAACCGGACGTCAGGATTCACCGTCGTCAGCAGACAAGACGGGAGGAAAGCTTTCCGCTACCTTCTCGCAGCACCACTCTCTCGTAGGCGGGGAACTTGGTGGCGACCGGCGCGGTGCTCAGGTCCTCTCGGCTCTTCCGCAGGTCTTTCTTCTTCCCCGCCCTTTGACCTCTGAGCCTCCAGAAGTCTCCTCTGTCGTTGCCTGACGCCGCTCTGGCAGCGTTCTGCACGTTGGCCATTTGATCAGCTCTGAGACACAAAACAAGCCCACCTCAGAGGTTTCAGCACTGGAAGGTTCACGTCTCGGACGCGTTTCTCTGACCGCCCACCTGCTCTTGTTGGGGATGATTCCCTTTTTCACTTCGGGTGCCTGGCTGTCCTGGTCCATGCGGATGGCCAGCCAGTGGCCCAGCTTGCCGTCGTACAGCGTGTCGATGACCTTGAAGATCTCCCCCTACCGAACGGGAGGCTCTGCGGCGCCTCCTTCTCGTACTCAAAGTGGGTTCTGATGTAGAACGAGTCGCCGCGTCCGGATGCCAGAACATCTTCATACACTGAAACCAGGAAATCATGTCGGATCCAGGTTCACAGATACTTTATATTGTACTTCTCAGTGTTCTTGTGTTCGTACCTTCGGGTTTGCTTTGAGCCAGGATGGTCACGTCTTCTCCTTTTGGAACGTCCAGCAGGTAGAGCACGGCGTCTTCGCGCACCATCCCTCTGAAGTCAACGTTGTTCACCTGAAACGGAGACCAGAAAGTCACTGGAAGGGTTTTCGTTTAGATGCCATGCTAACGAACGTTGGAGTACGAGGACCTAAAGGCGGCACCTTAACGATGATCTCCGGTCCGAAGACCCTCCTGCTCAGCCGGACTGTCCTCCTGAACGCCGGCGATGAAGATGCCGACGTCGTTCCCTCCGGCTAGCCGCAGCCCGACGCTGTCGCCCTTCTTGAAGCGCACCATGATGGTGTTCGGGCTTTTATTACGAAAACAGACAAATTCTCCTTTAATTACTCATATAGACCAATTTGGCTGGAGGACGAAAAGCTGCTGGCTGAAGAACACTACCATTGGCTTTAGCTGTTAGCATAATGTGCTAAATCTAAAATGTACGCTTGCTTGTTATATAAAAGAAAAGGAGACAAAGTGCTTTTCTGCTGATTTTTAACACTACAACAAGATTACAAGGTCAGGAAAAAGTTTTAAGTAAGAGAAAAAAATAGCAAGGAAGACAGAAGCAGGTCAGTGATGCTAGCCTGACTATGACAACCTGACATGTAGATGTGCTGTGGAATTTGCCGTTTTAGTTCAGTTACAATATAAATTGCAACAATTCTGCCTGTAACACAGCCGACATGAGAGCGAGAAAAAATGATCTTAGTTGTTCAACAGCTTTTCTGCATTAATTTAGTGAACGAAGTTGTTCTACTATGTTAAAGAATCGTCTGTTTACCCTCCAGCGCTGTAAACAATAACATGCATGTGGCAGATTAACCTACTGACCCGTAGACTTCCTGGTCCTCCAAGCTCGGCTTCAGTGGGACTTTTGGAGGAACCCGAACTCTTGGGGCGACTGCTGCTGCTGCTGCAAATGAAAACGGTAAAACAATCAGCTCAGCCATAATCAGCTTGTTTTTCTTCAGAGGCAGAAAGACGTTTACCAGGCGGCGACGCAGATCGAGTTTCGTCCCTCTCTGGCGGCAAAGGGGAGGAATCTTCACGCCTCTCCAGACTTTTGAGAGGCGTCGGCATCGCACCCATTTTTGTCATCCTGCTAGAAGGATCGTCTCTGAAAGTAAAAATAAAAGTTAGCAGGAAATGCTACAAATAAGTACAAGTCATGTTATGAGAATAAAATCTTAAGTGTTGTAACAATGGGAATAAACTTGAAATACCAAAAATAATGTCATAAAATGAGAAAAACAAATATTTTAGAACTCGAATATCTTTAGGAGTACCACAAGGTTGTGTTCTCGGACCCACGAGAACACTAAGTGATTTAATTCATGGGAGCAAAAAATAAAATCTGAAACAAGAAAATCAAAGTGGAAAATGAGAATTAAAAGGTGTTTTAATGTAACTTAAAACCAGAAGTTTTTTTTACGCTGCCACTTTAGCTGTTGCCACCAACATTGAGTAATTAATTTTGCTAATGCTGACTGACCTGAAATAGATAAAGTTTTACTGGCAAACAGAGAGAATACACACCTTTTACAGCTGTACACAGTAGCTTATTCTTTGCTTTGAATACCTGAATCAAAGCTCAACTGTGTTATTTTAAGATGCTGAAAATAGACCAAAGCGAGCCGCGTTGGGCTGCATGAAAGCGTACCTGGGTTTGTCTCGAAGCCTCTCATTGGACGAGTGTGAGGAAAGGTCGGAGGGATGACCTCGCTCCTGTGGAGAGTAAGAGCGGTACGACTCGATCTCTGAGATATCTGCAAAAAAAAGCACGACAGACGAAGTGAAAATTGTCTCTTTCCTGCAACGAGAAACCGAAACAGACGCAGAACAGATTCACCTGTTTTGAAATCGAACGTCTCCGACTAAATTACGAGAATAAGCAGATCTGTGGATCTTAAACTGAAAAGCATCAGAAAATGACAGCAGCACACTGCATAAACACAGTTTTACAAAGTATTTTTAGTCTAGTTTCTATTGTAAATATATTAATGCACTTGAAATAAGAGAAACCAGCTAACAAGTCATTGTTCAATGATATAGGAGTTTAAGTGAATAATTCCTTAAAAGTGACAAAAATTTACTAGTTACATTGGCATTTTATTTCACCCAGAGGAAAAAAAAAAAATTTGACCGTTACCTAGCAACCCCAGCAGAGTTCCGCCCGTTACCCAGCAACCTCAGTGGAATTCCATGGTCACCTAGCAACAAAAACCTGGTCTACACAAATATGGTCATTGCATTTTTATTTTTTGCACAAAATCATCTGTGGATAATAAGATTTTACTCTGGTTGTTTCAGTTATAACATGGAAAAATTTTAAATAAAATAATCAATGAAACAAACACATTTAAGGAATTATTCACTTTAAACGAGCTGCTATAACTTAAGTTAAACTTTTAAGTTAGATTTGCCTTATTTCAAGTGTATTAAAGTATCTACACAAGAAACTAAGCAAAAATACTTTGTGTTTTTGCAGTGCAGGGAACAAAATGAAGTGGATGGACGATGTTTGGGAGCTAAAAAACCCCCAAAACAATCCTTGTATTGTGAAAATCCAACAGCAGGATTATAATCTGGGATGAGATCACCCTGCTGGAGGGGAATGAACACTTTCACACATGAAAACACAAACCAGACAAAGTGGGTCACGCTGGACCAATCAGAGTCCTCCGACTGAGTCATGTGACCCTAAAAAACCAGGTATAAAAGAGGAGCTGCTGCTGCTGCATGGAGTGAATATTTAAATATTTAAATACGACTAAAAGCGGGTGAGAGTAAAGGTAAAAGCTTTTATTTAATGAGCGTAAAACAAGTTACAGCAACATTATTGGCAACAATTTTCTTCACAAATGGAAGTTCACATGCGGTAGGTTATTTTTTTCTCTTTTAAACGTTTAAAAAGTATGTTTATGACGATGGCGGTGATGATGATGGCGGCGGCGGCGGAGACGAGCATTCACACTGGGTAGGTCCTGCTGGTTTTCAGTTTGGAGGGTCTCTCACCATCGAGCTCCGAGTCGCTGTCCACCATCGGCGGGATGCGGATCAGGATCTGGCGGCGGTCGCGCTGAACCACCAGCTGCAGCCGGCCGCGAGACTTCTCGATCAGCTTCCCGGCGTCGCTGAGGGAGAGGTTCTCCGTCACCGTGCCGTTGATCTGAGGCAGCAGAGGGAGGTCAGAGGTCAGAGAGAAGGAGGGACCGGTTGTGTTGACAGATGGAAAAATAAATACGAGTTAGAAAGAGAAATCGATGGAAAGAAAGAGGAAGATCGGAACGAAGGGATGAGAGAGAGCGGGATTCAGAGGGAGAAACAGGAAGGAGGGAAGAAAACCCAGATAAAGAATGAAGAGTAATCTCTCTCTCTCTGTGTTTATTCTAAGTGATTCTGTTTTCAGCTGTATAAACTCTGACTGAGTGAATTTGGCTCCCACCTTCAGGATGATGTCTCCCTCCTGCAGGTTCCCGTCTCTGCCGGCCAGGCCGCTGCTCGTCATCTCCTTGATGAAGAGCTGGCTGCCCAGGCGCAGGCCGTACTCTGCAGGAGAAGATCACAGACATTTCAGATTCACCGTCAAACCTGGACAAGGCTAAACAAATATGTCACATTTTAAAGACAAATCTAGTTTGAATCTGAAAGAAAAACAACAATTTTTTGGAAAAGTTTTGTTCACCCTGAAAATTCATCCTTTGATTTGAACATATTTAATGAGGAAGGAAAATAATCGTAATTTTTAGAGCAGTAAATGTTGAATATTTTCAGCCTCTATAGAAAGATGTAAAGCTTCTCATATTTTTGGCCTGTTTGTCCAAGATTAATAATTTGATTAATAATTATGATACATCAAATTTAATAAATCAGAGTTCATTTCACACTTCAAATGAGAAGATTTACATTTTTTTAAGATTTAAAAGTTGAGGAAGTCACATTTAAACTCAGTAAAGTGTTCATAAATGACGATTTCTGCATAAATCCCTCCTGGTTTAAGCTAGAAAAAACTTATATTTTCCTTTATTACTTCAGTAAACTCATTACTTGCATCAGAAAAATCACCACTGGATTCTGGTGAAACTGTTAATATGTTGCAAAAACTACATTAAACCTAATCCTTAGTTATACTGTAATAATCTCGTTTTATGAGCTTAGCTTTAATCAAACATCTGAGCTGCTGCTCTGCTAATCTGTCAGCAACTAAATCAGACTCAAAGAAGAGATGAAGGCCATTAATTAACCTCTCAGGTTTCATGTTAACGAGCAAATTCATCTCCATCCTGCTGTTTAAGATCTGAATTAAAATTATAAAGTCAAATCTGATCAACGTATTTTATCACCAAACTGTGCTGCACATAAATTGAACCACGCTTTAAGGACTACTACGATTTCTAATCGATTAATCACAAGTGATCCAATTAATCACGATTAATTGATTAAAAATAATTAACGTCAATTTGAATAATTGTAATTTCAGCAATTGATTAATCATTTCAGCAAATTAGCCACACATTGAGGACTACTGTTACTATATCAATAATCAATGAATCAATTATTTAAATACATTATTTGGATTGTGATTTCAATAACTGATTTATTATGACTAATTCAATTAATTATGGTTAATCAAGCATTTTGATCATTAAAAATAGATTAATCACAATCAATTATTAAAATCATGATTAATTGTGACTAAGTAATTAAACATGTTACAGACAATCACTGATTATTAATCTGCTGAATTCAGTAACTGATCAACTGTGATTAATCTAATTAGTAGCGATGAATCGTTTAGTCCTGAAGCGGTCCAAAGCTGAGTCCAATAGAACCGCAGACAGAACAACAGTTTGGGCCGCTCACCTTCGTTGGGATGGTTCTTGAGCAGCAGCACGTTGACGGTTTCTCCAGCGGCTCCTGGTCGCGGCCCGGTCGGGGCAGCGGGATGGGAGCAGGGGCGACGGCGACCGGTCCAGGCGGTCTCTGCTCGCCGTCCGCCGGACCGGCTCGTTGTACCTCTGGTCTCGGTCGCGTTCGTAGCTCGGGTCGCGCCTGTGGCCTCTGGCAGGGCTGTAGCTGTCCCGGCCGTAGCGCGGCTCCGGGCTCGGGACGCGATCGCTGCGGTAGCGCCGATCGGGGCTGTAGTCCCGGTCGAGGGCGCGATCGCTGCGGTAGCGGCGGTCTGGGCGGTCCGGGCTGTACTCCCGGTCAAGGGCGCGATCGCTGCGGTAGCGGCGGTCTGGCCGATCGGGGCTGTACTCCCGGTCCAGCGTGCGGCCCCTGCTGCCGTCGCGCCGGTAGCCGCGGTCGGGGCTCAGGTCGCGCTCGGCGCTCCTACCGCGGGTCTGGTAGCCAGAGTCGCCGTAGCCGCGGCGCTCCAGGCTGTTGTCGCGGCCGCTGATCATGCTGTGGCGGTCGGCGTCGTAGTTGTAGTCGCTGTAGTTGTCATTGCTGAAGACTTCGGGCGAGACGGCGCCGGGCATCACACTGACCGGGACCTTCTTGGGGCGCTTGACCGTCTGCAGAAGACGGAGAGAAGAAATGGTGAGAGAAACCTCGCAGTCTGGGTTCCTTTAAGTCACGGGTCCAACAGAACTTCCCAGGTTTCTTTGAGAGCAGGACTAGAAAAACACAACAAGCCGTCCAAACAGAGATCTACGCGACGCAGTTCTGTTTTTCCTCATGTAACAAAACCAACTGTCGATGTTAACATGGCAGTAACACAATGATAGTATCATGAAATACTTCATTTAGTGGCCAGGAGGAGAAATATACATTTTAACAACAAAGGAAAGAAACAAGAGCAAAGGACAGAGGAAGGAAAGAAGGAAACAAGGACAAAGAAAGGAAGGAAATAAGAATAGTATGAAAGGAAACATGAAGAAGGCAGGAAGGACACAAGAGCAAGGTAAGGAAACAATAGCAAAGGAAAGAAGAAAATAAAAGCAAAGGAGGAAAAGAAAGAAGGACAAGAACAAGTAAGTAAATAAGTAAACATGAAGGAAAGAAGGAAACGAGGACAGATGGATGAATCCAGTGTAACTGAGTTTTGATGTCAATCTTACGATTTTGGCCGTTTTGCCACATTTTCCTGAGGGTCTGAACGGCGAAGGAGTGCAGCGCTCCCTCCATGGGTGTGTTGTTCACCAGAACCACGCGGTCCTTCTCACTGAAACACGCACACACACACACACACCCCCACACACACACACACACACACACACGGGTCAGCGCTCTGACACACACACAGGTCCGTCCCCGACCCTCTGAGATGAAACTCACAACAGCATCCCATCTGCCGGGCCGCCCTGCAGGACGTCCGACACCACGATGGACGTCTCGCCCGTTTCCTCGTTCGGGTTGTCCCGTCCTCCTGAAACCGCGATCCCAAAACCCATTTTGGGATCCTGGAAAAAAACAAAAAACAACTTTAAACATTTAAAATCATTTCCAGGAGAAGAGTGTTTTTCCACTAACGACCCGATTTAATCTGGTTTTTATTCCACCTGGTGATGAACCGGTTTTCCCACCAGATGAGATTAAGTTGGAGATTTGATGACCTCGGCTCTTTATCCCTCCCTTCAATCTGAACCATTTATAAAAACAATTCACCGTTTTGCTAGCAGATGGCCGATCGAGCAGAGGGAGGGAGAGAGAGCGCAGAGACAGAAGACGAGCCGCCATTTTGGTTTTGAACTATGTAATAATAAATTATTTTCCAATAAGAAAAACTTGCTTAGTCATGTCTTGCATCTTGACAGAATCCAAACTGTTTATAGATTTATTTATATCTGGAGAGAAAATATCAGCCATTCTCTCATCTTCAATTTAAGCCATATTTTACAGAAATCAGGGTGAGAAATAATCTGGTTTTGTGGATGTGACTCAATGACTCTCAGTAATGGCCGCCTGCAGGAGCGTCGCTAGCGTTAGCGGCTAACAGGCGATGTCCAAACCAATAATTTATATCAATGGAGAAATCCTATAATCGTTCAAATCTAATGCTACTCCATTTCTGTTTACATTTGGTGAAGCAGGAAGTTGCTCCCTGTGTCTGAGATTATTGTGTTGTTTCCTTCAGTGGTTCTTGGTGCAGCGCCACCCGCAGGCCAGGAGGGGAACAGGTTTTTCAATTAGTTTGGATTGTTTTACTCGGTGCAAAGTGAAAGAACGGCAGCAGCTGAAGAATTGTACAAACGTAGCGTTTTGGTCCCCAATCAAACCCGAATCAACCGAACCATCAGGAAAACAACCAAATTGTGTTTAATGTGTTGAATCTGAAATAGTTTGAGAGAAAGTATTTCAGATCCGGTGAAGCTGCCCGCCTCACCTGATGACTCTAATCCAACAAATATCACGCAGCGTTGAGGCATTAGCAGCAGCATCAGATAATGAACGGCAGCAGAGCGACAGCTGGCTGCCGGAGGGGCGGGGGCAGAAAGAAAACCTCTTCCTGCATTAAATCAGCTTCGTTTGCCCTGCACTGCACGTGTTCACAGTCCAACACCATCAAAACACGCAGAGACCTGATACAATTATCAATAAATCAAATGACAAACTAAAACGAGCGCAATAATTTCCATTTTCATGATTTATCGTCCTTTTTTTCTCTAAAACTGGATGATAAAAGTCTTCAGTTTGGTGCCAACTAGGCCTTTTTTTTTTTAAGGATAATTTTGTTTACAGAAACTTCTAATTCACTTTATTTTTATTTGTTTTATTTATTTACTTGGGATATTTATAATGGACACAACAGTTCAGATTTAGAGAAGCAAGATACTTTAAAAATGCACAAAATGGTTCAGATTTGGAGCTTTATATACTTTTAAAATTAATTTAGAGCGTTGAAGATTCTCCAAAATGTCCTTCAGGTCCAGTGTTTAATGTTTATTAAAATTTAAATTAAATGTTAAAGTTTGTTGATCTTTGAGATTAATTTCATCCACTATTATTTTTTTATTTCCATTATATTAGTTGAAAATGGTCTCAAAACAATCTCATCGTTTATCACGGTGACTAATGGGACCATTTATGGTCCAGTAAACTTTGTTGTGTTTGTTGGCCTGAACATGCATCAGTTTCTGCTTTTACAAGAAAAGTGAGAGTGTGTCCATCTTTAGCCGTTACTCAGCAATAATTCATCAGCACTCGGAGCAAAGCGCTCCCGGCATCGTCGTCTTTGTGGTGAATAATGTAAAGATGGTGGCGCCTGAGACTCACCCTCTGCAGGGTCACGGTGTACTGCTCCCACACCGTCTGCTCCATGACCGGGTTCTGGGGAACAACACAAACATTTCCATTTCAGACTCAGATTAATAATGCATTCTGTGATGTAACCAACAAAGCCGCTCCACTGGGCCCGTCGTTACACAAGCAGAGGAACGGCGGCAGCGACGGCCGGCCGCTTCCAGCTGGAGACGCACCGATCGACCGGCCAGAGACCGGAACCAGACGATTTTTCACTCCGGCATATGAGCCGATATGTCATGCAACACTCGGCTGGAAACTCAAAGGACTTTTAAGAAGAGAAATATTGGTTCAGATCAGCGAGAAAAAAATCTGATTGGTGCGTCTGAATGAAGTTGCTAACAGTAAATCAACTTTAGTAACATTTTAAAACTATTAAAATACTTTACAAAGGTGCAGAAATCTGAACAACTAAAGCTTCTTTCTTTACAGGACAAAATAAAAATTCATTACGCATTCTTATGTAAAGTGAAGAAAATGTTTAAATATTTTCATTTTGTGTCAATTTAAGCAAAAGATTTTAAACATTAGCATAAAAACCAGGCTTGGTGTGAATCAGCCTTTTGTAGCAGCAAAAGAAAAACTTCTGTCTGAATAAATCAAGTTCTCAAAGGAAATGATGTCACATTTTTAAAAGTTGAATAAATGGGAAAAAACTGAATTGAAAAAAAAATAATTTGAAGGAAGACATAAAATAAAAATTGGATTTTTGCCCCAAGCAAAAATGAAAATAAGAGTTTCTTTAACAAAATACAGAAACTGATTAAAAAATTGTTAAAAGTATTAATGAATAAAAATACAGAATTTGTCTAAGTTCTTTTCCCCCATTTAAAATAAAATTAAAAAGGGTTTCCCTTAAAAAAATTGCAGCTATGTGTTAAAAAAATAAAAGAAACAAAACAATATGTTTTTCTTCGTAAAAGAAAATTAAATTCCACTTATTGCCCTCCAAAATATATATATATATATATTGTCTGACTCAAAACAAGCAGCAGACCAAACACCTGAGGAGCAGGAAGAAAACCTGTGAAAACAGAACTAGAAACTAGAAACTAAAGTTTTCAAGATTCTCCCTAAATGTGTGAAAGACACCAGGCAGTGAAATCACCACAGAGACAAATCTGTAGTTTGGCTTTAAGTTTCTGACTTAAAACCTCCAGAAACCAGAACAGAACATAGAAACCCCGACCAGTTAATCTGTATGAAAGATTTTTTTAAAACCTGCAGATTAATATTAAACTTGTTCAGGATACAGAGAGAAATTAGAGGCAAAATTTATGTCAGGATTAAATTAAATCAAAACTTTCAATGCAGAAACCTTAAAAACACTAAATCTAAATCCCTTCATTCTCCATCAAATCCATCCCACAGCCTCCATGACGAGCCGGGTCCAGCGGCGCGACTCGGACCCAAACCGGGTCGCCGCCGCGGCGGAGCGGCACTCACGAGTCCCTGCAGGATGCGGATGGTCTTGACGGCGTGCGCCCATTTCCTGTGCAGGCTGAGGACGGTCTTCATGGTGGCTTCCTATCCGCGCGTTTCCTGGTTCAGCGGCGGATCGATGTGCGCCACAGCCTCCATGACCACATCTGCACACATCTGCAGCTGCAGCAGCAGCAGCAGCAGCAGCAGCTCTCTCCCTGCCTAACCGCCTTTGACGTAAGCGGGATTCTGCTGGCCTACATTCAGCACAAATCCCACCGTCTGCAGGAAGAGGAAGCAGAGACGCTCCGACTTCTGGGCTGCGTTGAAACGCTCCGCCAGGAAAACTCCAGCACTTCCCCACCGCTTCAGAGGAAGTTTGGAAACTTTCACAGCACCGCAATTCAGAGATAAAAATAAATAAACGTGATGTTATTTATTACTGGCGTTACTAAGGTATTGTTATGATGTTCTGCACTCCACTGCAGCTAAAATATAAACGCAGTTAATGTTAAGAAATGCTTGATTGGTCCAAAAACACAAATTTAACAAAAATTAATTAAAATATACTAATTTTATTTTGTTAAATATACCAGATTTTTTTTCTTTAAAATTGTTTTTTTTTTAATTGACAGATTTTATTGTCTTTTCAAAGAAAATACATTATTTATATATAACTTAATATTTCTAAAGGAATAACTGTTTTTAAAAAGCTTTATCCTCTTAAAAATACAGTGAGAAAATGCCCAAATGTTTATGATTCCATTTACTTAAATAAATAAATCATAATTCATTCTTGTTGTTTTCTTGTAATATTTCTTTAAATTACAGAAATTCATTCTGTTACCAACCGATGGGGTCGGGGACCACTTAAAATCCATCTAGGGGCCTCAAATGGCCCGCGGACCACACTTTGGACACCCTGATATAAACCAACCTTTAATCTGATTTAACTTCAGACACTGAGAAAAGAATAGTTTGTTTTATCTGGTTTCAACTGTAAATAATTTCCAAATTTAGGCTTTTAGATTATATTCCAAAACTGTTGAGTTTAGATGCGTGTGAAGACAGATGAAAAATGCAGAGAACAGAAGATGAATAATTGAGAATAAATCAGCGAAAGCTTTTCCTCTGAATGTCGGGAGTCATTATGTGATAAACGTTTCCTCTGATGAGGATCAGAATCACAGGATGTGACTTGAACTAATTATTTACAGCAAGAAGAAGGAGGGGGAAAAAAAATCTACTCTGGGTTTATTCTTAGTCGCCACATAAAGACGTGGATAAAAACCTCTAGATTAGAAACAGGATAAACTATTTGGGTAATTAATCGCATGACGGATTAAAATGAGATCCATAACAGAGACATTATAATAGAGTTTATTTATGGTTTTTATTTATGTTTTATTGTATCTTCCATTTCTAGTGCTAAACAAATATATAAAATAAATTTCATTGTGTTTTTGATAGGATTCACTTTCATTATTATGTCTATTATGTCTTAATATATTACTTAAAAATAATCTTAAAACAAGAATCGCAACAATAACTGGTACAATTATCATCCAGGGAAATGTGTTATTGTAACAGATCTATGAATAAATGTGCTGAGTTACATTTAAATGATTTCTTTAGAGCCAGAGGTTAAAAGGTTAACATCTGGTTGTTTTTGCGAAGCTTAGCACTGATTTCCAGGCTAAAATCCTTTTGCAGGGTTTCCTCCAGTGTATTATAAGCCTGGCAGGCCACCAGGCTTTACTTGTGCCCCACCAGGCTAAGCATTGCTTACATTTTAAAGACTTTGCATTTTTTAGGACTTTATAGTTGATGTTCAGGTATTAATCTTCCAATATTTAAAGAAATCATTTCTTTAAATTTCATGTCAACTTTAAACATATTTAACTCAAAAAGACGACGCGTCGCTGGATGAATGACTGCCGAGCGCCCCAACCACCGGGTCAGCAGGTTTTCTGGGGGAAACTTTGCTAGTAGGTCAGAAGACTTGTGCCCCTAGTTGGGTCTGACCCGCCAAGGAGAACGGCAGCGTCATTTCAAGAAACTTTCCTCTGAAGCAAACAGACAGGAAATGCTAACGATCTGCAATGCTAGCTGAGCTAATGCTACAAACTAAAACACGGATGTCTAAAAGAAACTTAAATGGGTAAATAAAGCACAAAAATTATTAAAAAGATCACAATTGATAGAAAAAATTGATGTAAGCCTTTAAAATAAGACTCAACTACAGCTTAGATTCTACCTGCATAAAAATGGTATTTTCAGAGACAAGAGTAAAAAAAAATCTAAATTAAAACATTAAATTTAAGACTCAGTTAAGAAAAGCGAGTGGCTACTGTACAGAATCAGAAACCCCCAGTTATGATCCCAGGCTTTTCCACTTATTTAACAATGAAAACAATTTTCACAAAAAGGAGGAACATTTCATATTACATGATACAACAGTAATCAGTCAGATTCAACTAAAATAAGGAGCCATGTCTTCCTGCAGGAGGCGCTAAAAGCACTAAAACCAAACAGTGGATGCTTCAGAGCGCTGACTCACTGTTACAGGAAATTATGAAACAAAAGTCAAATTTATCCACAAAACAGATAAAACTTTAACAAGTCAGCAGCCTAAACTCAGCATAAAAAGAAAGAAAAACATTTCTGTGTCACAAAGAAATCAGATCCATTTTGTTCAAACTGTAACCAACAAGAGTAGTTTTTGTAAACAAACTCAGGGTCAAAGGTCAGATTAGACGATTCGACTAGACAATACAATCTGCAAGGAATGTGAAAAACTAAATTAGTCTTTTTTAAAATACTTTGACTTCTTTCCAGAAAAATCTCAAACTCAAATCTAAAGAGGATGCTGGGGAAACGTTGTACACGCCCTCTGCTGGGAACAAAGCGGCATTACACCATCAATTTTAAAATGAACAAACAAATTATGGACAAAAAACTAAATTTAATTACAGAAAAAACTCTCTTCTTACCAAGAACAGATGGAATTTACAAAGGTAAAGAATTGAAAGAAAAAATATATTTTTTGACCATAAAAAAAAAGCTACAGCATAAATTAGATACCAACAATATTCATCTTTTAGTGAGAAAAAAAAAGATTTCACAACTTTTAATATCAGATGACTCTGACATTAGCATCTAACATGAGATATTTCACTGCTTTTAAAGAAACAGCAACTATAGCCATCAATTTTTTGACTCATAGGAAAAATAAATAGAAATTTTAATGCTTTAATTGCCATTTTATGATGATATTTTACATGATATCTCTTATGCATGCATTTACCCAGATAAATTCTACTCTTCCTAGGAAATCCTTAAAGTCTCTTATGAGGTTTAAAACATTTAATCTATTTGTAAAAACTGGAAAAAGACAATTTGGATTGAAATATCCTACACCAATCAAATTTTTTTATTATTTAATCCACCATTTCAAACCCAATAAAGAAATTCCAGTTGCTGCTACTATGGTCAATTTTTAGTTTTTATTGATAGAAATGTGATTTTAGCAGAAAATGTGCCAGTTTTTCATTTTAAAGCACAGTTTTGCACATGTTGCTGCAGACAGTCAGCCAGCTGGCTGAAAAACCTCCATGTTTTTTTCTCATACTGACAAGAAAACTAATTTGTCGCTTTTGAAATGCATCTAGTCACACAAAACAATCAATTTGAAATATTTACATGCAAATACAACAATATTTTAACAGCCTGGTAAATGTATACTCTAATTTTTGCAGGGATTATCAAACTTTCTTCCCACGGATGATTAAAAGTCATATTTGTGACAAAGTTATGTGGTTTCTAATAACAGAAAGGTGCAGTTTTATTCATTTAAAATGGGTCTTAATTTCAAAATGCCAGCCTAGATGAGGTCAAGTTGTAAAAAAGTGGAATCAATCTAACTTTGATTATTAGTTGATTGATACACAGTTTGTCATAAACGCCAACATGATGTTCATAATAAGTTTTTATTTTATAGGTTTGAGTGAAAAAGTTCCAGAGGATCACCGACTGTGTTTTAATGATTGTTAAGTTTCAGTAACTGGGTTCAGGTTCTGGCCTGGAGCTGCTTAATTATCCATTTAAAAACTGTGGAATAGCCCTTTACAGGAGCTTCCAAACGGACGCCAACTTCGGCGCCGTCCTATCAGCAGGTGCGGCAGGATGCAACAGGCTTCAGTTGGATCCTTAGGGGGGGAAAAAAAACCAACATTCCCGGTTTTCTCCCCCTAAAAACGGCCACACGAACCTCTATGAGCGCCCCAGTGTCACTTCTACTCCCGGTGGAGGTTTATAAGTCCGGTTTGTTTGAAAAACGGAAGATACTCACGGTTAAATTGCGGGGCGGATATCTTCTCAGAGGGAGCAGGGCCCCTCTGTTCACTGGCATCACGCACTTTGTACCGTCCCGGACTGGTACCACTGTTTCCAACCGAACTCCCAGACTGGACGAACGTTTCCGGGTGGCACGTCGGCCGAAGCGACGGATAAAAGTTGGAAAATACACAAGTTTAAAGATTTAGAGCCACTTCGGCTTGACTTTAAATCACGAACTTCGCTCCCTAAAAAAAAAACATTAAAAAAAAACTAGCGCCGAGGGCTGTGAGCTCGAGCCGGACTGAACCAACGCAGGCAGCGGCGGGGGGGAGACGCCTTCACAAATAGTCAGGATAAATCCACTCCGATGTGAAAACCTCCTTATCACCACACTATTAAGCCACTTCACTCAAATTTAAACGTTTCCTAGCCATTAAAAATCAAACCGGAAGAATAAAGATACATTTACACAAAAGATGTCAGGTTTTTAACCCCTTGTCGGATGGACTAGTCCGAATTTCCCATTGATTTTTAAAGCTATGAAGCTCCCAGGCGGACAGAACAAAATATGACACAGGAAAACGAGATCTGAGCGTTATTTATCTATTTTTAAACGGGCTAAAAATAAATCTGCATCACAGACACAACGCAATGACTTATTACACTCCCACATATAAAACAAATTTTAAAAAATCCCTAACTGCAACATCTAGCATTCAAAGCATTCACAGCTTTAAAACTTTTTCCACATTTTGTTCCATTACAACCGAACCTTTAGTTTATTTTATTAGGATTTTATGTAGCAAACAAAAGGAAAAGTTTTTATATGTTAATGAATAAAAATCTGAAGAATGTGGTATGCACACATGTTCTTTAGCCAATCTGAGTTGGAGCTATTTTGCAAAGAGTACTGGCATAAATGCTGGACTTTGTGTTGGTTTATCACATAAAAACTAAACAAAATGCATCCAAATTAGTGGTTTTGAAAGTTAAAAGTTAAGTTTAAGATATATTAATATTTTATGAAACTATGCTATAATAATTTCTCCCTAAACATCCATTTAGAATACTTTAAAAATAAAATGTAGTTACTAAACTATGAATTGTCTCTAACAGGTTAAAACAAATTTAATTTTATGTATGTTGCATTCTAAATATAGTTGCTTTTATGACTACTTTTGTCAATAATTGTACAAAATTGTTTGGTATTATCCAGGTGGAGAAGTCAGTTAATTTGATCTTTAGGGTGTTTGTTGTCCTAAATAAATATTACCTCGTCATAATCTTCTAATAAGACCAAACCAAATTGTTTCCATACTCTGCCGAACTATAAAAGGAGACTATAAGTCGAATTATCCAGGCAGATAAAGCAGGGATTATCCCATTATAAAATCAAGGATTAGTCCATGAAAAGAGGTTCCCAATTAAAACAAAAAATGAATCCAAAGTCTAGCAGATGAATCATGGCTGCAATTATTTCAATTTGAAAATGAAGGATTATTTCTGACTCATAACAAGCAGATTGTTTTCATTGATTTTTAAACCTTTATCCCATATAAATGTGATTTTTGTCATTTCATTTCTTACTCATTGTAGCTGTATTTCTCATACAAATTGTTTTTATATATGTTTAATTTTTTTCTTTTATTATTGTGCCTCCTTTTACTCCTTTATGAAAATTTTTACCATTTATTTTATATCATATTTTCACTTTCGTTGTATAGTTAATTTTGCTCCTCTTTATTTGAATTTTTATTGTATATTTTACTTGAATTGAATGCAGTATTTTGTTTTCTTTTAGCAGTTAGCTCCTAATATTCACCCGGTTATCGATCCCAGCGCCAAAATAGCTAAAACCCTTAAAAACTCCTTCAAAACGTTTATAGCTGTTTATTTTAATCGCACAAACCTCAAATATAATAAATATACATTAATTCACAGAGTGGAGATCGTCTTAGCTAGCTAGCGCTGCCGCAGAAGCTAACAAGTCTTCCTTTGGCGTATTAGCCAATCAGCGCAGAGCAAAATAAAAGGCGCTCCTGGATTGGCTCTTATAAAAACGGCAGCCAATAGCGTGTCACGTAGCATTGTACCTAAGCTTTCTAGCTTCCAGTCACATAAAAATCTGAATACAAAACCGCAAATAAGCGCAATTCACTGTTTGAGTAATAATACTGATAAATTATTTTATTTTTAGCCTGTTTTGGAAACATCAATCAAGTTAAAGAAGTTTTTAATCTCAGCAGTTTAACTTCCTGGATGAAACATCTGTTTCAGGTTATAGCTACAGTGAAACACAAATAAGTTAATTTCAAAACAAATGCAGCTCCTCTGCACTGTGGACACACCTCTGACTTTTTTCTGGAAGAGGAGTCAGTGTAGTAGAAATAAACACATTCCAGGGCTGCTGAAAAATGTCAGGCACAGCTCAAAATAGGCCAACCTTATGCAAAGCAGCCTCCCTGACCTGAATTATTTGTAAGACTGAGCCATTAAAACAATGAAGCTTTCTGCATTCTGACATGTCTCCCTGGTTAATCATCATCCTGGGTGGGGGAGAGCAGCAGGGGGGATCTCTGCAGGAGAGGAGTGTTCAAAAACCATGATAAAAAAGGAAAGAAGCAGCAGACTGGGAAACACTGAGTCACTGATTCTTTTAATCCATGTCAGCACACTGACTCTGCTTTCTGAATCATCCGTTACAGGATTACAAAGCGGCTTCATTAGAAGGTAAAAAACTGCGATTTCCATTTGGACAGAAGCTCAAAATGAACCAAAGACAGAAAGACTGATGCTAATCTTCCAGAAGAGAATTAGCAACATCCATAAGATATGATCAGACCTAAACTAAACAAACAGAGGGAAGTTTACTGGAGTTCAACGGCTTGCATCCATTTTAAACCAGATTTCTATCTAACATTTCCCTAAAGGAAGCTTCAACAACAATCTATGAAGTTAAACTCAAGGATGACAGTAAACACTGCATTTTAGTCGAACCCATTACATACAAACTAATGACACACAAAGTGATTCCAGGCACTACTTTTTGCTAGTTTTTCCAGGTAAGGCCTTTAATAATACAAAAGTTTAGTGGAAGGAAAATCTCTCCAACCTGATATGTAAACGACATTATTCACAAGGACAACAAGCCACACTAGGTTATTGCTAACAATGCTGGTTTCAATACAGCACTGTATGCAAATGGAAAGTTTAGTGGAAGGATAAAGTATAGTAGAAAAACCTGATAGTTGTTATCCAGAGCATAAATGACATCGTTCACAAGATAGATAAGCCACAAATGTCCTTCCCAACAATCACAGAACGCTCTAACCGCTATATAAATGGAAAGTTTAGTGGAAGAAAAAATGACAGTTGAAAATAAATAAATAAATAAAGACTCCAGAATGTAAAGGACATTCTTCATGAGGAGAATTACACAAAAAGCCATTGTAAATAATATTTTCTGATCACAAAATGCTTTGTTTACAGAGAGAAAGTTTAGTGGAAGGAAGAAGTGTTGTAGAAGAAACCTCTCACCTTCCAGAGAATAAATTATTTATCCTCCATTGCAAGAAGAATAAATCAGAAAACATTTCCAACAATGCTGAATGTTCACAGAGTGCTGTATCTTATTGTGAAAGTTTGGTGGAAGGTAAAAGTGTGTCAGAAAAAAAAAGCTGTGATATGACCTGAAATGACATTCTTCACACAAAGCATAAGCCATCAAACACCATTATGAAATGCTTTATCTGTTACTAATAACTTTACAGAAATTAGGATTGAGCATTTCAAAAATGTAAAAAAAATATATTTTTAAAAACAGAGGAAAAAAAGAAAAAATATACAAGACAAAAATGGAAAAAGAGGAAAAAACCAACCCATTCAGATCTACAAACTGAATTTGACAAACATCTCAACTGCAACCGTAACCGATGTTCATTTGGTGACATTTTAAACTCTGGGTAATAAATAAAATCCCTTTCACAGCAGCTGCAGCGTCATAGCAAAGCTTCCTGACCCCAAGCGCTGACCCCATGTTAACCCCTAAACATGGCGGACGCTCCGTCTCCCACTGTCAGCTTGTGCAACGTACCATGGTGATGGCGGAGAAGCTCCTCGACGACAGGCGGCGAAGATACAAGTACTGGGCTTCTCTGGACCAGCAGAACTTACGACTGGACTTGAGCAGGTCAGTACTGGTCTGGTCAGAGCAACTCTGGTCCCTGAGCAGAAGAAAAACTCAGATCAGGGGCGTGTCAGAGGGTAAAGGTCGATTTATGAAGTTATAAAAACTGATCCCAACATGACCAGCTGGGTAAAACTAATCAATTATCTGGATCATGACAAATTTATTATCTCATTAAACTGAATATAATGAATGAAAAGCTTGGAAATCAATAGAAGTGTGCTAAAAAGGGTTGTACGGAATCATATTCCTGCCAAAAGTGCTGAGGAGCATGTTAAGCAAATTAAAACTGCAGATTTATAAACTGATTGCGGGCATTTTTATTTATTCATTCTGATCATTTTTGTTGGAAAACTTGTGCTCTTAATGTTTACTGAATATTTGTCAGACAGGGGAGAATAAGGTTCTCATTCTCATTTTCAGCACAAGTACAGTGACAGCCAACATTAACAACAATACAAGAGGAGGATGACGACAAAGAAGATATGAAGGGTAAAGAACAGAAATAGTTGTAATTTTTTTTCCACTTAATTGTACCGTGAAGATTTTTAGCATCAATGTGACGCCGTATAAAAGGACCCAAATTTATCCCGTCACCATTGAAAATTATGCAGATCCCAAATGAGACTAAATAAATTTAGAAAACTGCTGTGAAGAAATAAATGATGGATATTTAATAAATTACTTTCTGTACACTTAATTATTGCAGCACAGAGGTTCTCAAAATAGGGGTCAGGGACCTCTTTAGGGTCGCAAGACACCAAGAAAATGCATTTTTTCCAGATTTAATTTAACATGCTGAGGAGCATGTTAAGCAAATTAAAACTGCAGATTTATAAACTGATCGCAGGCATTTTTATTTATTCATTCTGATCATTTTTGTTGGAAAACTTGTGCTTAATGTTTACTGAATATTTGTCAGAGGGGAGAATAAGGTTCTCATTCTCATTTTCAGCACAAGTACAGTGACAGCCAACATTAACAACAATACAAGAGGAGGAGGATGACAAAGAAGATATGAAGGTAAAGAACAGGAATAGTTGTAATTTTTTTCCACTTAATTGTACCGTGAAGATTTTTAGCATCAATGTGACGCCGTATGAAAGGACCCAAATTTATCCCGTCACCATTGAAAATTATGCAGATCCCAAATGAGACTAATAAATTTAGAAAACTGCTGCGAAGACATAAATGATGGTTATTAATAAATTACTTTCTGTACACTTAATTATTGCAGCACAGAGGTTCTCAAAATGGGGGTCAGGGACCTCTGAAGGGTCGCAAGACACCAAGAAAATGCATTTTTCCAGATTTAATTTAAAAGTTGGTTTATTAAAACTTTTGCTTCTAAAGTAAGAGATTAAGCTATAGCAATAAAAACTATCATCTTTGTGCCAATAAAAACCACAAACACCATTTTCAGTTTTTAGCTTAAAATGTAATAAAAATCAGAGAAAACCCAACATTGCACAGTCATTGTCAGCAATACTATAAAACAGAAATCTGATTGTATTTCTGGATGCTGATGAGCCGTTGAGACGCTGTGGCCCCAAGCTTTAAATTTTTAACGAGGCTTCTGAAATATTTAGAGGGAAAGTCTCAGCGGCCGAACTGTCAAACTGTCAACTCTTCAGTCTGAATCACCAAACCCTTCAGACTCTCAGGATCCGCCTTTAGCAAGCCCAAAACGCACTCCGACCTCTAAAACCTGCAACCAGACCAACGTTTGGGTCAGAACATCATTATCCATCCTTTTATTTCACCAATAATAAACTCATCTAGTGAACATCAGCTGTGATTGGATGACGGACGAAGCTACAGACGATGAAAACAAAGATGTTTCTCGCTCTTTTCTCAGCCTGACTAACCGTCAGCGACATGATCAGGCCTCTGCCAACATGGCTCTCGCTTCCCTCGCCACGGTTCCCATGGTAACCGGTCCCCGAACAATGGCTGATGCTGCCAGCGACGCGCCCGCAGCGACGCGCCCGCTGCGACGCGCCCGCTGCGACGCGCCCGCAGCGACGCGCCCGCAGCGGGGAGGATGTGGGAGACGGTGGGAGGGTTTCTGATGGCGACGTTTCAGGAAATCAGCTGCTGAGACGATCCTGGGAAACATTTTCCTCCATTTTTGTCGCACCGACTAGCTTCTTAAAGTTTTATCATAAAGTCACAAATTTATCCCCGTAACCAACATCACAACTGTGTGCTGGTAATATTTTATTGAGGTACGTCTTTTTTGTACAACTTTATCCGACTTCATTGTTTTACAACTTTATTCTGAAAAATATTAAAACTTTTCATAATATTATGACTGTTGTACAACTATTCTCTACTAAATATTACGTTTAATTTGTAATACGTCTATTGTCATTTAATAAACAACTGTCATTAAACTACTGTTGTATTTTTATAATATTCTTGAACGAGTTAATTGGTAACATGCATCCTCATGTAATCTTACTATTATCTTTAACGTCTTGCTCCTGTTTCTACGACTTTATTCTCATTGTTGTACGTATATTTTGCGACTTTGCAACGTTTTATTCTCACTTTATACTTCGGCCGACTGTTTTCTGAAGTGCATTCACACCTAAAGGACCAATAGGGGAAACGAACCAAAGGTCTCAGGTGTGAATATGGGAAACCAGACCACTGTTCTCCGGGAACGGCTGACAGATGCAGAAAACGCTTTAATCAGACATTCTTAAGGAGCATCTTGTCCTCTAATACAAAAAGTGAGCGCCGTCTCAACCAGATATTTCTCAGTAATTCCTCTTGCAGTTGAAGTTTCTTATTAAATTCCTTTCATGTGTGTCGGTGCACAAAAAGGCCGATTCAGACAAAGATTTTTCCCTCCGAGAATAAAACAGAAAACAAAAGGTCAGTCGTCCTGACATTTCATCTCTGTTTGCTCCACTCAAATAAACCTGAAGCAAAAGTATATTAGATTAAAAACAAAGATCAAATCAAGCCAAAGGACTGGAAGAAAACTGAACTGTCCTCTCATGACTCAACAGCTGCAACATTTAAAGCAACCCTCATTTCTAAAGCAACAACATTTCCATTCTGGTTCTGCTCAGTCGGGAAACTGGACAAAAAGACTTGAAAGTTTAAAGAGCTGATCTATGAATGCAACAACGTCTCCTTTTGTTTCTGTTTCAATATATTCTGTCGTGACGCAGGGAGGTCAAAACCACCAGATATTCAGCTCTTCCTCCTCCTCCTCTTCCTCCTGCTGCTGCTTTCAGTTCACTGGAGCAACAAAGTCTGGACTCTCATCCAAAATATCAACAAAAGGCTCCAGTTTTCACCAAAAATAAAACACCCTTTAAAACAGATTTCAGAGTTTTTGGGGTATTTTCCAAGTTATTAATCAAGGATGTTCAAAGTAGGGTCCGTGGGCCGTTTGTGGCCCTTCAGTACATTTTCTGCGGCCGACCCAATCAAAATTAAAAAACAAATTAAATTAGGAGAAAAACGACAATTTGGAGTTGAAATCTGCTTACAAATTTGTTAGATGACACAAAAGTGATCAGCTTTTCCAAGTTTCTTGCTTTCCTTACATTGTCATGATAACCGATACACAATCCACACGACGACTTGTAATCCAAGTTACAGATCGATGTATCCAAATCGGTTCTGAATTCCTGTATTGAAACTACAGGAAGGGAATTAAAATAAATTAGATCCTGTTTTTATTTATGAGAAAAGACAAAATTTTGAAAATTGAGCCCAAAATACATGCAATTTTAATTAAATAAAAAAGAATATATGTAATTCAAATAGTTCTCTTTAGTTTATTGTTGAAAAAAACTAGATCTGTTTTAACCATGAACTATCTTATTTTTGTTGTTGGTTTTTGTCTTAAGTTAAATTGTTTCGACCCATAAATACTTTTGAGCTGTTGATGTTGGCTCTTGTGAAAGTATTTTTAATTTAAAGCATTTTTTCCTTTCATTTTTTGACAATATGGCTGCAGAATTGCTTAAAATGACTGAATTACTCTAAATTCAGCCCAGATTTAGGCTGGATCCCATCCATACAATCAGCATAAATATGATTGCAGTGAACAAATTATTACAAAAATAGAAAATAATGGTGATAAATATTTTTTGTTCTAGATTTTTGGTGCTGATGTTATTTTTAAAAGCTGAAATCTTAAAGGTACAGAATCCACCTGTTCCTTCCCTGATTCAGACACTGTTGTTTCCTGTATTTGTGGGAATTGGACGGAGACGTCCATCTCACCCCGGGGGTCTCCACAGCTTCCTGCCGGGCGGCATCAGCTCCCGTTTGTTGAGGGGAACGACCCCGATGGCCGCCTGCATGATGGTGATGAACTTCTTAAACTTCATCTTCTCTCTCTTTTTTTTAAATCTCTAACATCCATCAGACCGCCGCTGCCGCGCGTCCGTCTCGCGTCCTCTCGTCTCGTCTCGTCTGACTCATCAGATGCTCCGTCTCCGCTCCTCACAGCATCCGCTTCTCCATGGCAACGAGGCTGGGATCCAGAGCGGAGGTCGGCGACATCACCGCCGCCGCCGCCGCTGCTGACGGACCGACGTCCCTTTGGCTTCTCAGAGCGGGAGGCGAGCCGCCACGCCGTCGCTGGGAGCTGGGATGGCGTCACGCATACATAATAACAGCGGAGCGTCTCTGGGCATTACACTAATGAAAACGCTGCTTCTGCCTCCGCCACCATCATCATCATCATCGTCGCTGCTGCTGTCGGAGCCGCTGGGATAATTGTGTTACTAAGCTCTGACAGATCATGGAGGCTCCCCGCCCCCATAATCCCCCCCATCGAGGCTTAGTCTTCTCGCCACTTAAACAGCGACCCGTCTACTTCAGCCGACACCCCCCCCCTCCATCAGCACAGCTACGGAACACCAGAAATGTCCAAACTACTCAGACACATCTTCACATTGGTCTCATTTACTCGTTACTTTTCTGAGAGAAATTTACTTTTTACTAATTTTATTATGAAGTATTTCTGCTCTTTAGTAAATTTCTGGATTTTCTACTCACTGAAGGAAAAACAAACATGTTACAGCCAAAATTCAAACACAGTCAACACCTGCAATTTTTGTTAAAGTTTCATAAGTTTTTATATTGAAAGAAACTGATTTGGAAACATTTTGCCTGAGTTGAGTTTACATTACAAATGTGACCTAATTAGTTTATAATATTGTGCGTTTTATTTCACAATTAAATTAAAAACAGTTAAAAATAATGTGTGAATGTCTTGATAATTAAAAATCATGCCGTGGTCGCGTCTTTCTTAAACTAGATATGGAAACCTTTTGTCAACTACTTTAATTTCTTGATTAGCGAACAGTTTGGATCTTTTAATCCAAACTGTAATAAAAGATCAACAGAGCTAAAATGTGCAAAGTTGTTTCGTCAAAACCAGCTCAAATATATAAAGATCAGTTAAAATAAGATAATTGGCTTGAGATAAGGTTATCTAAGCCAAAGTAAACCGAGATAAGCTAAGCTAAATATGAAAATAATGCTAAAATATGCAATAATAAAGTATATTATGATCAAATAAAGTAAATTAAATTGTTTCCATGCTGGTTATTTGCATTTTGTCATGAATTATGACTTTGCTTCATGCCAGGATTTTACTTGCTCAGTATTCAGAAGCAGCCTGAAGTCAAACTGGAGCCGTTTCATCAGCCAAGAATGTGCTGAGGTTTGCTACACGTTTGGCCCCGACTTGCTCAAACGTCCACCAGGCTCAAAAAATACACATTTATGATGTTTTGCTGCATGTTTTTCCCATCTTTGTTTCTAGATTATTAAGTTTTTAAAAATAAACTTTGTATCGTCTCCTGATGTAAAGTCAGCAGAGCCAGATTAATAATCCACCATCCAGTCTCCAGATGACAGCAGATATGCGTGTCCTGGGGGGTTCAGATAATAAAATATTAATCTATGTGCCCTCCCGATGAGATGCCAGCTAATGCAACTCCGAATGGGATTTGTGCTCGACCAGCCTGGGCCTCTGGATTACGGCTTTGGATGGTCGAGCCACGAGAGCTGCTGCAGATTTCAGAGCAGGAAAAATAACAACAAGGAAGAAAACCACCAGGGGGAATAAACTGAGAAAGTTATCATTGTTGTGCTGACGTTTTAGGATGGTCTAAAGAGTTTTTGCATTTTGTCTTAATTTTGTCATAAGCTTTCCCACCATATTTGGTTCAACTGCAGAGAAAAATTGCAATATTAGTTACATTTTCAGCTGCTGTTCTTTCCCACTGCAGAGTCAAATGAACGATGAAAAACCTGTTCCCCTCCTCGCCTGTGGGGGCGCTGCACCAAGGAGCACTCAAGGAAACGACATGAAAACCTTTGAAGACAAATGTAAACCAATATGGAATCAGATCTTAGCAATTTTGTTTTTCCTCTTTGGATAAATCCCACAAACCATTTCTGCTGCTAGCGCTAGGCTAATGCGATTGTTTCGGTTGCATTTTTCCCAGACTGCCGGCGCTGTCGTCCACTTCCTGCTTTTGGAACGGTCTCAGTCCACTTGGCGTTCACATATGGGGTCGAACCGAATCAGAGTTCGATCGTAAATCCGCCTCTCCTCAAACAAATCAAACTTTCTAAGCAAGTGAACTGAAGCTGGATTAAAGCTGATTAAACAGAACTAGTGTCAAAACATCCAGAAAAAAAAACAAACGATATTAAATTGTCTGAAATTTCATGTCTTAATTACTACTCTGGATATTTTGTCTTTTAAGCAAATGGCTTTTGTTCAAGTCTAAATATATTCCAATTAATTAAATTATTAAACTAGTTGATGCTTCAATCATTGATTAATCAAAGCTAATCCGATCGTTTCTGCCCCACAGGCATCAAAATGAATTGTGAAGCTATAAATCACCCCGAAATGATATTTAAATGCGTTTTAAACCGATTTCATCTCCAAAATATGTTGCAGATGACTTTAATCATGCATTAAGGACTAAAAGCGTCTGAGGTTCCCATGATTAATTATAGAAGACGGCGGAGCGCGACTCAGCCCTGCAGCTAACTCCTTTGTTGCTGCACGTTTTCTGTTTCTCACCAACTTTCTATTTTTACTTCCTCAACCGGGTGAGCGAATGTGGCGGGAGTTGCTTGCTCGTCTTAATGCCTTTACATAAGCAGGTTGTTTCTCCGGTCCTTGTCACTTCCCCACGTGTGGCGTAGTGGCACGGTGGCGCCGCGTTCCCCCGGCCCGAGGCCATTACGCAACGCCCAAATGCAGTGCATGTGCGCGCCAGATGGAGGGACACATGCCAGCCGCCACTCTGTGGCGAGAGCGTGCGGAGGGAGCGAGGGAGGAAGTGGACGAGAGAGATTGACAGGCGGCGAGCACATGCTCTGCGCAGGTGGAGTCGGGATCATCAGGGATGAGAGACGGGAAAAAATGTCTGATTTTTCAATCTGCAGGGACTGAAAAGTTGTTTCTCTTTCCTGCGGCGGCGGCAAGGAGATTAAATAAGCAACTTATCTGATACTGTATCTGATGTTTCCAACAAATGGAGGAGAAAAACCCTGGCGTTGTTCATATGAACGAGAAAAATCTGATTTTCTAACATCCTATTAAGATTAACGATTATTTTAATAATTGATTATTCTGGCAATTAATCAAAAACAAAAGACTTTTCATTTAAGCCTTTTTCTACCATATCATAAATATATTAAAATATATATTTACATTGCTTTTTAAATAAGAAAATAAACATTTTATTGCCTAAAATGCAGCACATTAGCATAGTGACAATTTGTAGTAAAGGAAGAATCTGTTGCATTTAATCTGATGGTTATTCTATGGATTAATTGCCGTTTTGAGACGATTTAAGTGATTTAATGGCATAATAATAAAGAACACATTCGCAAAGACCAATAAACTTGAAATGCTATTGAACATTTAAGACATTTTAAATACCCAAAGTAAATAAAACATAAAATCAATTCTCTCTGTAAATATAAAATAAAATCCAATCTGAAGATTGTTTTCAAAGCCTCTGAAATCAGTTTATCTGATTCTTACATCAATAAATCGATTTCAGCTTGTAGACTTAATAGTCTGACCAGTTTGTCCAGTTAAAGTCTCTTTAAATTGTCTATTTTGTCAACTGGGGGACATAAACAACTCAGACTGCATTTAAAAAAACTGAGTAAAGTTGTTGCATAATCTCAGTTTTCTTTGTGTTATTAATACCAGTAAGAGCTGGTCAGGACTGCACAGCGTTTCTTTTCAAAGCAATGCTTGGCAAACGCAGCCGGTTGAGCAGATAAAACGCCTCCCTGCTGCGCTGATCCATAACAAACACAGAGGGAGGATCAAATATTTAACCAGCAGGCCTCACTGCCTCTTCTTAACCCATTTAAAAAAACATTTCTTCTTCCTCGGCTCAATGGAAAACTGCAGCCAGCCCACTTCTCCCTGAAATGTTCAGTTTTAGTAACCAGGAGAAAAGAAATTTGACTCATTCAGCAGGTTCTCCAACCGGTTCCACGGATCAGCATCTATATGCCTCCATTACGTCAGAAAAGGTCATTATGTTTGACAAAAGCCCAATAAAAGCAACAAGAACTGAACGCCAACAGATCGGGAACAATGAAGAGGAAATGGAATTAAAACTGAAGAAGTTCCAGTGATTAGAAATGATTAACTGACCATAAACCTAAAAATAAACGACTAAATATCAGGAATTTAAAGACTAACAGGAAGGTTTTCCTCATATTATCACATTTTCCCGTGTTATTTAAAGGAAATACAATTATTTGAGTCAAACAGGATTATGGCTTGGAAAGTTATAAATGCTAATCACTGACCAGTTTTAAAAGATGTTTTTGTTTCTTATTTCTTCCATAGTATAAAAATCTATTTTGTAATTTTAAAAATGCAGTTAAATATTTTATAAATTCTGAAGAAAATTTCTAATTCTTCATCTTTTTAAACTAATTCTTACAAACCTAAAAACTTAAAATTCTTCTTTTTAAAAAAAAATCCAATTATTTAAATATTTTGCAATTAAAATAAACACTTTTTTTAACTTCAAAACTTTCAAAATCTAAACATTAAACTGGTTTTGCAAAATAAAAAAAAAATGAGGAAAAAGTTTAGTAAAAAACAGAAACATGAAAATATATCAGATTTCTATTATAATAATAAACTGCAAATTATTTTACTAAAAGTATTAAAAGCTAGACTACCAAAGGAAGCCTAAACAATTATAGTTCAGGAAAGGCAAATTATTTTTGTAAATAATGTTTTACGCTGTTCAGACTTTATTCCAATACAAAATAATGTACATCTGCAGCGTCTTTCAAATCTAAAAGCCATAAAATCAAATTGCATGTTTGTATTGATCCTCATTTAAAACTATTTTACACCAAATCAGAGAATTTTGAATAACTGCCACATATTGAAACTCCATGTCTGAAACATTTTCTGTCATTTTTACCGCGAAAAGAGAAAAAGTATCAAAACTGAATTTATGCTTAAGGCCTAAAAGTTGAGAAGAAATTAAATTATTTCTGTGAAAATCCATTTTTCCTTGAAAGGTCATTTGAAAATGTGAAAGTGAATTAAATATGTTTCCATAAACCCCATTAGAGGTTAAAGGCAGTGGAGAACTGTTTGGTCATGCATGACACACCTGAGGCTCACCTGAAGGCCACACAGACAGACACGCCGTTTGTTCCTGGATGAACGCCAACAGAACCGGCCTGGACTCGAACTGGGTCAAATTACCATAAACTAACCCCTTAATTCCACCTTAAGCGCACTAAAGGTGGTTATTCCACCTTAAACCGCCTCAGTAAGTCATTATTTCTCGTCCGTGTCGCTTTCTGATCCAACATGGCTGAGAAACACGGAGAGAAAAAC